TTTTGTTACCAGGGATCGAACTCGGGTCTTTGTGCTTGCACAGCAGGCGGCGAAACCACTGAGCTAAATCCCCAGCTCTTGTCCTTCATTTATATGGACAATCAAGAATTGTATCTTTTGGATGGTTTTGTTTCTACTTTTTAATGGTCTCATATGTGAAAATACAAAAGATTAGAAATTTGATCTGATTATGTATCTGATAGGCTTGGGATTCCAATTATCTGAATTCTATTATTTTCAAAATTTCTATGTCAGTGACTGCTTACCTCTCCAGGGGTAGTGAGTTTATGAGTATAAATGACCTCCTGATTTCCATGAAACAAAAACTAGCTTTTTGGCAGGCAAAACGTTTTCACTGAAGTGATTTCTTTTTCTTACATTAAATAACAAAGATTGGATTTTTCTAAATGTTTTGTCTATGCAACATCTTTAACACTTTAATTGATTTGAAATGATCTTGGCCTTGTAAAGCATGCTCCCTAAATGGTGAGATTTTTTTTTCTCTTCCTCTGAAGCACTGTAAGCATTTTGGAGCACCTGGTTCTTTGAAAAGCAAAACCCACACACCATACCTACAAATTGGCGCACAGCCAAGAAAGTCCTTTTGTGTGCGTGTTTGTGGTGAATCATTCATAACCTGTAAGATCTATCAAAATAGCTTTGTTTGAAAACCTTGTTTTCTCTATCTTTTTCTGATGACTCAGACTTTGGTGCTTTCATGTCTAAATTCTCTTTTCTTTCTTGTTTCTCTTCGTGTTCATTCAGAAGATGTTCTTTCACTAGTTCCAAAATTTGTGTTTCTATATTCTGTCAGTTTTCATCTTGAAACATACACACAGCAATATGCTCTGAATCATAAAATTCTGCATTAAATCCCAACACTTAAAAAATTCTCAACATAGGTTTACCTGCACTTCTGTTCTAATTTTCATTCAGTACATATTCATTAACATTTCAAATTCATTAGCACTCATGAAACTTGAAACTTTATTTTAATGTTCCTAAGATTCTGGCTGCAAGAAACATAAAAACCAATGCTAAGTGGCTTAAACCATAAGGACATTTAACACCTCATGGATGAATATGAAAATTATGATGCTCAGGGTTAGTTGAAGAGGTCAATAATGGCTTTGAGAATTCAGGTTTTCCCCATCTTTGCTTCTGTCATTCTTTTCTTTTAAAGCACTTTTGTTGAGGCATAATACAGATATTAAAAATTCACCAATTTTAATTTTATAATTAGAGAAGTTTTGACACAGGTATAATTATATAAGCACTACTACCACCAAGAACATGAATATTTCCATCAGTCAGTGGGTTCCACTAACCTCTTGGCAGACAATCTCTTCTTTTGGCAATTTAAAATAAGTGGAACTATGCAATATGCTCTCTTTTATACCTTCTTTCTTTCATGTAGCATCATGGGTTTGAGATTCATTCAGGTTATTGCTTGTATCGGTAGCTTGGCCCTTTTTATTACTAAATGATATCCCATTGTATAAAAGATACATAGCAAATTTGTTCACTAATTCACCAGTGTTGTGGCTTATATCTAGATGTCCCCCAAAGCCACGTGGTCCTAGGTGGGGAGTTTTGAAGGTGGCTGGATATATGGGATGCTAGGATTTAGGATGTGATGCTGGGATTAAGGGGTGCCCCACTCTGGGTGTGAGTGGCATCACTCAAAAGGCAGGTAGGCTGGATGGACTATAAAGAGACAGAAAGAAACTGCTCTGCTACTTTGCTGCTTTTCTGTCTCCTGCCTGCTTGGCATGGAGTATTTCTTCTCTGTAATGCCTTTGCCATGTTATCCTGCCTTGGAGCCAGCTGACTATGGACTGAAACCTCTGAAACCTCTACAAACTGTGAATCAAATAAACTTTTCCTCCTTTAACTTTGGGTGTTGGGTATTTTGTCTCAGCAAGGAGGAAATAACTAAGGCAACCAGTTAACGGGAATTTGTTTCCAGCTTTTGGCTATTATATATGAAGCTGCTAATAAACACTCACATAACAAATTTTTTATGGATACAAAATTTCGTATGGATACAAAACACAAATTTCTCTTAGGTAAATATCTAGGAATATGAATGCTGAGTCACATGGTAGTTACTCACTTAATATTACAGTAGCTGCCCTTTGGCTGAAATTTTACTTTCTGAGGAGTCTGTTATCTATGGTTAACCATGGCCTCAAAATATTAAATATTATATTTCTGAAATAATATTTTGTTGTTTTGAGTAGCATGATGGACACTTCTGCTGCCTTGCTTTGCCCAGCACATAGGATATCCTACTTTTAGATCTTTTCCTAAGAAACCTACTCCTGTCTCCCAGTAAGGAATTTTCTAGCCTGAACATCAATAATGCCAACATTGAGAATCAGTTTTAGGTCACAGTAGGGACCAGCTTGTGCTGAGTTAGAATACTGAAGTGTTTCAAGTTCACGAATTATCTAAATTAAGCTTTCAGAAGGATAACTTGGCTATCTAATGTAAATAGACTGAAGGATTAGAAGGGTAGAAATGTCATAGGGATGGCGTTTAGGAGAGTACTAAACTCTCCAGATAAGACTATGATTTAGACCAGGATGATGGCTATAGGAATGGTTCTGGTTATATACTGAAGGTTGAGGTAACAAGATTTACTGACCTACTGAATATATGCATCTGAAGAGTGAAGCCTTGAGTAATCTACTGTGGTTGGCACCAAAGCTTCATCTTCCTCAAAGAAACTGAAGTGGTGGAAAAGAAATGTGAACATACCAGTATTTGGAGAATACCCCATGTGGATGTTAGGAGTGGCGACCAGTTGCACCTTTTACATATATCTTAGGAAATACGAATGGGAACTGCTGAATTCAGCTATTTCAAAGGACATAATCATTCTATGGGCTGTTTCTTTTAAAATGCTTTCACATCTATAGCATTTTAAAATGTCTTTAGATGTCTTAAAGATGTTTCATCTTGGTGATGGTTTGATAGGTGAGGGATGTTTCAGCTCCTTATTCCATCAAGGTCATTAAAGGGCAGTCATTACAGATCTCCAATTTTCTGTCAGTTTTTGTATTCTAAACAATGATTGTTCCTATGTGGAGTATTGATACATTAGTAATTGCTTTCTGTGCATTTGTTTTGTTTATTCTAAAATACTATAAGCGCAGTGTGAGAACTTCAATGCTAGAAAACTCAAGATATTTTTCTTGTCACACCCTATAACCAATAATATTAACCTTATAAACTAGTAACGGATTATTTCTATTTCACAGACGAAAAATATGAAGTTTAGTAAAGTGTTTTAAATATTTTCCAACTAGTAAATATTGGAACTGGGTCCTGAGTCCATATCCGGTTGAGGATTTAAAGACTGCCCTTTAGGCTCTCCTGTGGCCAGTTGCTTGGATCTGGAAGATCCAAGATAGATCTGGAAGCAGCGGCTACTCAGGACTTGGTACAGGAGACCTAAAAGTCCTTCTTCCTAGACAAGTGCACTTCGTAGTTGTTCAACTTCAGCCTGGCTGAGGGCTCATCGGCCAGACTCGGCGGCGGGACAGTACGGAGATGATAGCCTCCCCACTCTGTCTCCGGCCCCCGGCGTCTGCAGCGGGCACTCCGCAGCTCGTCGGGCCTCGCGGCCTGGTGGGCCGTCCGGCCCGGAGCTGGGCGGGCCCAGGCGGGGCCACTCAGCTTCCGCAGCTGTCCGACGCGGCCCGCCTTCTTCTCAAGGAACTGGAGGCCGAGGCGGACGGCGGAGACTCTGAGGCTGGGTCAGACTTCCTGCGCCGGGCCGGGGTCTGGGTCTGGGGTTGGGGCCGGGGCCGGGGCCGGGGCCGGATCCGGATCCACGCTCTCGGTATCGCTCTCTCTCGGGTGAGGCCAGACCCAGACGCCAGGCCTCGAGCCGCTGTTTCTTCTGAAGTTGGTACCTAACTTTCTCGAGACTCGGAGAGGAGGCGCCTCCTTCCGCTCGCGTTGGCGGAAAGCTGGGGGAGGTGCCCGGCGGGTGTCGCCCTCCCGTGGGTGGCCAGAGACGCGGGCGGGAAGTCCGTCGGCCTCCCTGGGCCGCGACCGGTCCCCGCCCCTGAGACCTGGTCCTGGCCGGTGCCTAGGCCCTGGGTGCCCGTGGGTCCCGAAACTCGTGGGGAACCTGTCACCGTCACCCAGGGAAGCGCCCCAGGAGCGAAAGGGACACCGGTGAACTCGCGTCTGCCCCGGGACGTGCATTTCAGTCAGGGTGCTCTTCCCGTCTCAAGCCCTGCTCCCACTGATTTCCCCTGAAACTGCTTTTATCTTCCTTACTCCTTAAAATTTATGCACCCTTGCTTTTCGAAGATTTAAAAGTCTTAAATCTATAGACTTCTCATAAGCACTGGTATACATAATGTACCAGTTAGGAAAGCCCCACAATAAAACTTTACCCACTTTATGATACAATACCCAGGTCATGGTTCATCATTCAAATTTCTTGCTTCTCTGTGCTTTTGCCAGGAGGAGGACAAGTGAATATGGTTAAAAGATTTATGTTGATGTCAAAAAAAAAAAAAAAGATTTATGTTGAAATCTCTAGTTCTTTCTAGGTGTTGATGTTGTTAAGTAAAAACTAGGGCATTGGGTTCAGAAAGTAGAGGAAAAACCTTTGAAAAGGAGTAGATATTTTCTCATACGGAAAATGGCAAAGGTTTTATGAAGAAAAGTTTATATTTTTGTATAGAGCGAGTATATAGTATACGTATTTATGAGTAATTTTCCTATTAAAAACTCTTTAGAAATACAGGATCATAGTTGGATTCATCATTAGTTTCGGGCATATAACCGGTATGCTTCTTTCTCCTAAGAAAATTTTAACTGAAAATCTCCCATTTTAAAATGCTAGCCTATATAAAATTATAATTAATTGATTGAAGTTGTACAGTTATACCATGGAGACTGTGCGTTTATTATTGGCAGTACTGCTGTACTCTAAAGCAAGGCTATTTTCACTTTGATGAGGTGGGAAAGGATATGAGAAGGCAAGAAGCTGAAAGAATAGTCCACCATCTGGAAACTACCTAATGGGCTAATCTGCTAAATTGTGTATCTGAAAATCCCGTGCTCCTTTAACTGATACTACTTACTGAGTACCTACTGAATACAGGGCTTAGTGTCAGGTGTTTTGCTTGGTGATGGTGATATACTTTGCTCTTGTCTGTGTCTTCCTGATTGAAAGCTATATTCTTTAGTAGTGACTAAAGACCTTACCTTTAACACAGCATTCTTAATGGAGTATTTGCATATGGTGTATATGAATTTTTTTCTGTCCTTATAATTTTTTTTCTTTCCTTTGTTAGGTATTGAGAGTATTGAACCCATGACCTGTAGAACCTAGTGCATGGTACTCAAGTGCTGTATCTCTGATTTATATCCAGCTCCTTGTTTCTTAAGGTGTATCCTGCAGTGTTAATACATATTATAGACCTCTAAATGAATTTTTGAAATGTTGGTTAAATGAGATTGAATAGATTAGTATGTAATTTTTAGTATTAGTAGTGATTAGATTTTAAAATTGTATGTGAAGCTATAGTTTGAATATAAGGGTTGTTTTCACCAAAGTGAATTGACTTCAGAATCTTAGAGTCTAAGAACCTGGGAAAGTTTCCTTCAGAAGGTATTTTGGGAAATGTGTTTTAACTCTCCAGAGTTCTTTTTTTTTTGGTACGGGGGATCGAACTCGGGACCTTGCACTTGCAAGGCAGGTGGCAGAACCACTGAGCTAAATCCCAGGCCCCAGAGTTCTGTTTTTTGTTTTTTAACCATTTATCTTATCTCTTCTGCCAACAGAAGTGATGCCACTGAGAAGAAATGAGAAATACAAACTTCCTGTTCCACTTCCAGAAGGGAAGGTTCTAGATGATTCTGAAGGAAAACGATGGGTACTGGGCAAAATGATTGGCTCTGGAGGATTTGGATTGATATATTTAGGTAAAATATAGTTGTAAATTACCAAATAATCTTATATATGTGTGGTGACTTAATGGTATTTTAAAAATTGAAACTGAAGTAATATAAAATTTATAAATATACTTTATTAAGTAACTTAAAATAGTGTTTAGTATATTAACCAGACATTAAGTTCAAGACATGACTGACATACTCCCCATTGACCATGTTTTTCCTGAATGACTCTTACAAGTCTTTCAGAGCATAATTACACAATCTGCCAGACAAAATGCTAATGCTCTTTTTTTGAGAACTTGTTTTCCTGGAAACATTACATTTTACAGCTCAGAAACCACAACTTTATAAATTTGAATACTTTCCATTTGTGACTTTTAATCATTAATATTTAGGTAATACAAGGATCTAATCATTTCTTAATTATGCTCCATTGGAGAATTAAGCTTTAATAACTCAGAGAATTTATTGCATGGAATGAATTGACTTCTCTCTTGTGTGTGTAGAGTGGTACCATCCTTGGAATAATTGTGAAAATACACGCAAATTCTTTTCTGTCTTCTGTGGTATGAACCCTGAATTGTGTGTGTGTGTATCTTTTTTTTAACTTAATTTAAACATTCAAAAATTTTACTGATTTGAAACAGATCATTTAGGACTTTTTATTTTTCTCCCATTCTGGGAATTGAACCCAGGGCCTCCTGCGTGTTATACAAAAGCTCTATCACTGAGCTGCATCTTCAGCTAGTATTGTCCTAAATTTTGGTGGAATGAGGAGGATATTCATTGCAAGAATGAATTTCATGAATAAAATAAATATTAATGATTTTTTAAAAACATCCTATGGCCAGGGGATAGCTCCTTGGTATAGTGCATACTTACTTTGTGCTTTGGTTTCAGTCTCCAGCACCCAAACCAAAAACCTAAAACAATGACTAAATGTATTAAATCACATTATATTTGTTTCTGTAGGAGTTTAAGAAGTTGATAAAGATCTCCCTTGAGGGAGAAGTTGATGAAAGACCTCTTTTTGGGGGACTTTTGGTTCCCTTCAGATATTTCTAAACAAACATGTTTCATGGAATATGAAAGATTGAGATCCTTTTGTGATAAAACATAAGAGTATATTTTTGTGTGAATGAAATTCAGTTAATAAGCAATTGCTTATTACTACCCGTGTCTAATCCCATTGGACAGATACAATCAGCACAAAAAGTGAGTTAAGTAAAGGACAGTTTTTCCATTTAAAGTATTTTAGCTTGCTTGAAAAATGCTATGCTTCTCAGTGGCATGGGCACTATGAAATACAAATGTATTGCAAGCCACATATGTATTTAAAATTTTGCAGGAACCACATAAAAATAAAGATACATGTAGATTTAATGTATCCAAAATAATAACATTTCAACATGACTGTTTTGTTTTGGCTTATTTTTGTGTGAGTTTTTTTTCTTTTCTTTGAGACATGATCTTGCTATGTAGTTCAGGCTGGCCTTGAACTTACTACACAGCCCAGGCCGGTTTCAAACTTATGATAGTTCTCCTGCTTCAGCCTCACAAATACTGGGATACAGGCATATGCCATCATGCCTAGCTCAACATGACATGTTTTATAAAAAATGAAATATTTTACCTTTTTAGTGAAAATCTTCAAAATTTAGAGAATATCTGGTGTTAAGGCCCCAGTGCTGCACAGAGTTAGTGGCTGTGGTATGGGATAGTGTAGATAAAGTCTATGTGAGTACTCGGTGTTCAGAAAGATTAGAATTCCTTCTAGAATAAAGTGTTGTTTGAGATTTGGTATTAGTGAATTCTTTTTTATAGCAAAGTTATAAGATCTGTAATAGATTGTCTTGACTCAAGGTCAGAGATACAGAGTTGAACAGATTATTTTTGATGTGGTTATGGCCTTGGATTCCACAGCTTACTACTTACACCTTAAGTTTTCTAATATTTGAAATATTTGAGTAATTTCAAAGAGCTAGAGAAAAGCATTGACTGTAATGATCTCATCCCTTTCTACATCTTAAAATGTAAATATTTGTATTAATATGTATTTAAGTTCAGGTGCATGTTTAAGATGAAATATGTCTAATATCTATACACTTGTATGTTTACATGTGTGTGCATACTACTTGTTTGGTTTCTATTATGAAAAAGGAGTATGTTTGCTCAGTCTTGTAATTTATTTGTCCCTATGCAAATACAGAAGCTCCTTTTTTCTTTGACTCTGTGTCACATATTTTTCAGTTTTTAAAAATAATACTTGTTTTACAATATATTTTGAGGTTCACTATGTTATGCTTATCCCACTGTTATCTGAATTGTAGAATCTAGACTGTAGGAAGATTCACCATCCACCATGTGGGAAAGACATGAAAGAAATACCTAGGTGTTTTGAGAAAAATGTCAGTTATTTAGAATATATAATAAAGCTGTGTGTTCCCAGTATTGTTATTGTCCTACCAAAAGTGGTGCCGATGAATCAGAGAATCAGCTTAACTTCATTAAACTTAGTTTTTAATGATTATTTTCAAAGCAATATAAGCAAATGCATAAGAAACTAATTGTTTCTGCATTTTACCAACATTCTCACCACTTTGTGTATATAAAGCAGTTAAAAGTCATTTTTCTTAATAATTTTGTGTTCAGCCGCCTTCTCTTCAGGTGTTATTCTTTTGCGATAACACTGCTTTGGCAGACACTGTATCAGCATTTGTTGCCTAAGGCTGAGAAAGAACCAACCCGCTCTGTCTAACTCATTGTGCATGTACAACTGTCCTCTAGCTTTGAGATCAATAGCCCAGGCCTTTCAATAATCAGCAACTTACAGTAAGGGGAAGGGGCAGAGAAGTTTGGTATTTACTCTTGACTTGGAGAAACAATGTGCCTGTAGCACTAATAGAAATAGTTATAAGAGGGGAAAGAAAAGTCTGAATACAAGAACAAAGCCAAGGTTCTTTCTTTGTATATGAAAAGAGATGGGGGAAAAAAAGGAAGAAAGGAAACTGGTTTAGGGTATGGGAAAACTTGCTGTCGCTTTAGTATCAAATGAGTGAAAAAGTTTCTCAAACTCCAAGGAAAGAGCAAGAACTGAGAGTTTGAATTCTACTTTAATGTAAAGTATAACATAGGACCAACTAACCCAAGGGAGAACTGCATAAATGAGAGCAATGGTTTTGGTGTTAGGCAAATTTGAGTTGAATCCTGACTTGAGTAAGCCACTTACAGACTGAGTGACTTTCACCTTGCTAATCCTTTGGAGTCTGTTTCTAGTCTGTATGATTGGGGCAAAAGTAATTGTGTAGGATAAATTAGATAATATGTTTAAAGAACTCAGAACTTAGTAAGTACTTAATGAATATGATTTATTGATTTAAAAGTTTCCATTCTCTTAAAAGTGTGGTGCTACAGTAGATTAGATAATGATAAATACCTTCATTGGAAGCATTTTCTGTTTATCTTTCCAGGTATTATAGTGGATTTAGCTACTAATGTGGTAAAACTAAGAACAGAGAGAATGTCTGGAGAAGACCATGCTGTGATTTACTCAATGACTTCAATCTATTTGCCCTCCAAAATTTACTAGACTAGAGTAGTATAATGAATGGTGAAAACTTCTTACTTAATTGGTATTTTACCTACTTCAAATATGAAAGACACTGGGTTTCAGAAATTATGTAAAATCCAGAAAAGGAAACTTTGGTATAAACTTCAGCTATACCCTTTCAAGGCTTGTTACACAAATAGAAATAGGTAAGATAGGTAGTTTTAGTTTTAGTTTTTTAAATTGGTCATAGTGATGACCACTCAGCCTTTGGGGTATATGTTCAAGAGTTATTTGCCTGAGGTATAGGGCCTGAGATTAGGGTATTTAACCTACACAAACTAGATTGTTTTATTCTGTTCCATAATTATAGATGTCTTTCAATCCAGTCTGCAATCTGACAGGTAAGTAACCTTAGTTACAGGGAAAGTTGAGACAAGGTTATTGTGCATGACATCAACTGAAAGAATATGCTTATACTTCATTGACACTAAATCAATAGTATTCCCTTTTATAAAGAACAACGCTTTAGCGAAAATTAACTGTAGTGCAACCTTATAACCAGATCATTTATTCACAAAAAGTATTTAGACTTTATTTAAGTGACTGTCAGACATTTTGAGGGCCATGTTGTCAGATTAGCCTAAATTTGCTCTTTAGAAACGTAGAAGGAATATTGTTTGGGGGAAGATTTTTAGAAATTATCAGACATTATTTTGTTATATGAATAGAAACAAGTATGAAATAATGTATGTAGTCTTGTTTTATGTTTTAGTTGGCTGTAATAGACTGATTTTTTTAAGGTGTGAAGAATAATATTCAGAAGAGTTCAATGATACTGCTAGTAATAGGATAGAAGTATTGGAACATACATTGCTTTCTTATACATTACAGTTTTAAATGTTATTTTGGCTGTGTTTTAAAGAAGGCTTTCAGACAGGTAGTCTTAATGGAAAGGAAAAAAAGAAAATAACTGAAAATAAGGATAATTTATGCTGGAAATTATAGCATATATAATAAATTTAATTCCTACATGAAGTGTAAGTAATATGTGATATATTCTCCAAAGAGGGAAGGAATCACTTGGAATTTTGTGAATTTAATAAACTGTCAGATCTATAGACAAAAATTAAATGTTCCTAGAAGATGTATTTTAATTTTATATTTGCTGCCTATGAGGCTATTCATTTTGATTTTTAAAAGTAATAGAAGTATTCATTTATCCATCACTTAAAAAATCTAAGTTTGGGTTCTTTCTATTAAAAAAAAAGTAAGGCCTAGCTTTTGCTCATGTTTTCCATTTTCTTCAATGTAGGATCTTATTTTTAACATATTTTATATTATGCTTCTTCATCTCAACATTTTCACTCTCTTTTGCCTTAAGGGGAGGTTTATAAACTACCTCATTCTTTTGTGCATTTATATATTAGATTTCTTCTGCACCTGTTAGTATCTTGTAACTGTTTACTATCGTCAAGGT